TTCCTGCGCTCCAGCCTTCTCTTGCAAAAGAACATTTGCTGAGTAGCTGCACAGGGTCAGAACAAAGGCCTGGACGGTGCAGTATCCTTCCTCTGAAAGTGGCCAGAAGCAGTTTTTTGGGGGGAAGAATAAGAGGAGCAGGGCACATATGTATGATATTCCTCCCAAGTACTCCTCTGGCTTCTAGCCGTAGGTGTCTCAGGATCCTGATACAGTTTGAATCTATTTAAGAGAATTGTGCCAAAGTCTCATGCTCCAGGTTGAACTTGAACCCACAGAGCCTGGTTTCTATCAGTGACTGTCCCATTAGTTCCTTAACAGTAACTGTTTTTATTTTAAAACCCTACAACTACCTGATCTTCCGGGGCGGGGGGGGGGGGAGTGCGGAAAAAGAAAGAAAACCAAAACCCACCATGTTTTTCACGTAACTTGAATGATTGGTATCTGAGGGAAAGAAGTGTTAAGAATCCAAGTTTGCAATTGCAAATATTATCATATATAATAATGTGTCATAAAAAATTAGAACCTGTGCCACCTGTGGGCTGTGAGAACAATTGGGAAGAGAACTGAGCTTAGAGATACTGATACATACCTGCCAACAACATGGTAGCATGTGTACATATGGGGTCACATAATGGACAGTCATCATGTGGACTGTCTCCCATGGGACCTCATCAGCCGACCCATCATCCTCAGACACGTGGTTGAGCAAGATTAGTTTGGTGCATTATGCTGTGTCACTGATGTTAAAAGAGTTACATCTCATCTGTTATTCTGGTGAGACTAGAAATAGCAAGCTGTTGGTAAATTAATTCCTAGCAAGAAGCCTTGTCCAGATGTGTTACCCAGCACACATCCATCTGCCACGAGTGCCAATGGCAGGCCCTATCATCATCAACCACAGGCAAAGACTTGAGGGCAGAGAGCAAATATGCATCTATAGGGCTGCAGGCGGTCTCCCTCAGCGAGTAACAGTAAGACCCTACCAAGCTGCTCATTTCACGGTCACTTTGCCTTGCCATGGGAGGAATGCGCACCCATAGCAAACAGTCACAGGAAAACTTCCCCAGGTGTGCACATCCCGCCTGAGAGGAATTGTTGTGTTTGTTAGCCCTCACAGCACGTTGGGCTCACCTCCCCTTCTCTGGTTATTCAGCCTCCAGGAGCCTAGCACCGCCTTCATCGTACATCTCTACGGCCATAGGAAGAGGTAGAAGAGGCTGCAGCCGAGCGGGTCTGTCTTGCATATGCAGAAAGATCTGCTCCCTCCGCCAGTCACCAGGTGTTTTTAGGCTGTTTCAGGGGTGCTCAGTGAGTGAATGACTGGGGACACCCAGTACCGGTCTGCACTGCGTTCCTGTTGGACCTGGCAAAGCTACATGCTCTTCACCAAGAAAACAGAAGGTCTTGTTGGCTCCAACCTTTTTGTGGGAATAACCTGCATGCAAGAAAAGAAATAGCCATGGGACTTTATAAAGTTTTGCCTCCCAATAGGCTCTGTAATTTTTCACTGTTTTCAGTCTTCAAAGGGGCGGATTCATTGCATTCAGATACCATTATGCCACTTTTAAAAACAAAGAAATGATGAGCAAGGAGGTATATGCCTGCTCAAAGCCACATGGGAAGCCTACATGAAAACAGGGATCCAAATCCACACCTTGGCTCAGGATAGACCTGCAACTAACAGATGGGCATGCCCCTCCCTTGCTCCTCCTTACAAGCTTCCAGTCACCTGCTCAGTCCCATGGCTTCTCCATGGCCACTGAGAACTTGCAAATTCCTAATTCCACAACATCAAAAGAAAAGCTGCAAAAAGGAATAGCTGTGTGAAATTTTTTTCTTGCAATCTTTAGCAATGAAGGGGATGAAGAGAAGACACACAAGAAACCTAGACAGCTCCCCGGTCCCGGACCACCTCCTCACCTCAAAGTGAAGCATGGACTTCTCCGCTCTGTCCCAAACAGAACACGGGGCTGATGCACCATAGCAAGAAAGCACCTAATTCGTAAACATCCCGATTCACTGTCTTCACTCAATATGTACCTTTCTGGGCAACAGTGAGGATGCATCATGCACATACATGTGATTGAGTGCATACATGTGTGCTTTCCAATTAATTCTTCCAGCTCTTGTGGCGATTTTTTTGTCTCTCTAAAATTCTTATAACCAGCATAAGAATGACATTTTGCAATCAAATGTTGAATGCATTTTTTATTTAAACATTAAGATTAAATTACAAAAGCTTCTGGAACAAGGAAAGAATGCCAAGGAGGAAAGAGCTGAAAACTCAGATTGCATTTTCTCATTCATTGTGAAAGCAAAACACATTGGCAGCAGCAAGGCGTTTTATAGAAAAGTTTCAGATGGACAGTACAAAGACCTTTCTGTCAATAATGTCACTGAAACACCTTGCTGTCATGAAGCACATTTTTTTTTTTCACCACATTTCTTAGTGTTGGCTGATTGATTTTCACTGTGGAAAACAGGTAATAATTATCTCAGAATTACTGCAATTCTTGACTGTTAATCTCTGCTAATATAACACAATCTTCTTCTTGGGAAAATGTCCAAACATAATTTACTTTACCCTAATAAAAATGTCTATGCTGTTGTTAAAAGTTTTATTTGCACAAGTATGTTCCTAATCTATGTTAATTTCATGCAATATATCTCTAGTTTTTGGAATAAATACTGAGAATCACTTCAGAAAATTCCCTTGGAATGCAAAACCCAAACAAACTTCTTATTTTCTTTTAAGGGCAAGATTCCACCACCTTTATTTACACAAGTAGCATCTTGCTCCCTGTGTTACTTCACTGCAAGCTAGAGGCTCAAGCAGTGAAAATCAGCATAGCCCCATTGGGATTTCCTGCGTTGTATTAACTTCTACTAATGAAAATTGGGCTGAGCAGTTTTATCTGTGGAGGAATGCACTACCTATAACCAGTAAAGGTGCTCAAACATAGCCCTACACTTAGTAATTTGGCACATTTACAACTGGCGTTACTCAGTAACCTATCAGATGACAACAGTGGAGCTCTTCTGTAAAATATAGGTTAAGCCTACATTTGTATGACTGTACATCTGAAGTATAAAAACCACGATATGTAGTACACTTCAACAGTTAAAAAATATAACTTATTTTATTTGTAAACTATCAATGCAAGATACTCAGCAGCAAAGAAGCCATGTTCAATGTCTTCTGATCTTTTATAAAGATCTGTTGCTGTAAGTAATATAATCGTCTCTGAAACATCTGAGGTTACATGTAGAAACAATCAAGGCAATATTATTTGTACATATTATTAAACATGCAAAAAACTTCCTGAAGAATATTGCCCAAATGTAGAAAGTTGTCTGGATCTCAAATTTTCCTTGGTAGCATCTGTTTTGTAAGTATGGCTCACATGTGGCTTTAAGAGTCCTTCAGTTTATTTTGGAGAATTGGCACCTTTAATAACAGGCTCCCTATTCAAATATGTGGCCCAGTAAACTAAGTTAAAAGTTCCAAACAGCACTGGAAAAATTATCCGGGACATTTTGTCAATCTTACTGATGCTGTTGTAAGTCTTTTTGCTTTCAGCAGGCTTTTCTTCTGCAGACTTCACTGGAGCAGATGCAGTGTTTGAGATGACAGGTGGGGCTGAGTCCTTTGGCATGTTTGGTGCAGGGGTCATCTTCCCAGTGCTGTAAGTATTAGTTGATTTATTTCCCAGCATTTCACGCTCTTTTTTCTGCAGCATAAAGAACAAAATGTTAGACCGCAAGAACAGAAAGTGGAAACATGTTCTCAAGATACTAACCCAAAAATCTAAGTACCGTAATCAATCATGTGAACAAATGCCTGTTGGCTATTCCGACTTTGACTCCCAAACAGCTGTTTCTGCCTCAATTTTATAGCCCTTACTCAGGTTAAACTTTCCCTGATGCCAGAGAAACCTAAGAGCGGCTGGCCGGACCCGGATCCCACCTGGCATGTGCATTAGCAGCTGCTTCTGTCAGGGCGATGTAGTCCTGAACCTGCAGAGGTTGCTGCCCCGCAGGCAGCTGCCAAGACATGAACCTCACCCTCCTGCCTGCAGCAAGGAGTGTGGTGAAGGGCACATTGTCCCTGCCAGCTTGCCCTCTTTGTGTTGCTCTTTTGGGATGCTTGCGGGTACAAGTTCTCTCTAGGAGATAATTTGCTAAAAGTCAGTCCTATTCCAAAATTTTCATTTCAGCATGAAACTCAAAAGTTCCTGTTTTCACAGAACCACTCTTTTGTCTCTTTTTTTTTTATTGGGGATACTGTGGTGGGACCCCGACTCATGGAGCTCAATGTGAGCTTTGTCATTTATTTGGGAGAGCGCATAAGGAGTGCACTGCAGAGATATGTTTCATAGTATATGTCTGCTATTATCAGAAGTTTGGTCACTGAAATCCCATGCCATGTGTACTCAATGCCCTATATTCTTCTGAAAACAGTCCACTCCATACAGATGGTGGAAACTGGTAATCTATCTCTGTCAAGAGAAGATGGCATATTTCCTTGCAAATACTCCTCTATAGGAAGATGAAAGTATGTCATGAGTTAATTAAATACCTTTTTCATGAAGAGGCTGAAAATTGTCCATTCAGTTATTTGAATAACTGCTTTTTATTCTAGGTATTTTTAAAATGTAAGGTAAGCACCTTGATTTTAGCAGCTTCCAGGGCTTTTTTGCCATCCCAAGCCCAACTCCTCTTAGTGAAATAGTTGACTGTTGCAAATTCAATCAATGCAGAAAATACAAAGGCATAGCAGACAGCTATAAACCAGTCCATTGCCGTAGCGTAGGCCACTTTTGGCAAAGAGTTACGGGCACTGATACTTAAGGTGGTCATGGTGAGGACTGTTGTTACTCCTGTAAAGGAGGAAAAAAAAAAAAAAGAGGCAGAGATCAGCTTGATAGCCCTTACAAGATCCCTAACGAGTTATGAGCAGGCCCCAATTCAGCACGATATCTAAGAAGGCCACATGAAGTCAGTTGGTGTTTGCATATTACGGTCCAAAAGAGTAAGATACTTTGCTCACCAAGAAAAAATACAAGCCTCTAACCTCAGGTGTTTACTTCTGTGGTGTTCTGGTTACCTCTAGTTATAGTATAAAATCAGTGAGCAACCAATTTAGCAGTAACTTGCATAATAAAGTAGGATTATGGATTTTATTTTCTCACATGGAGATTTTATGTATGAAATTGTTGGTTGTTATTGATATCCGTGACTGTAGTTCTTCCCTTCCCATAGGCCAGTAAATGACAGAGCTGCCACTGCTTTCATCCATGGAAGGATGCCCCCAATAGAACAAAATTCAACTCTCACTTTCTCACAACTCACAATTTTGCAAATCTGGAATGAGAACCACTGGTCAGCAAAGCAATGCTCGTACCTGTATTCTCCCCATATAGCTTGTTGAAATGATTTTTGATCAAAGCTGCTGACTGATTTCAGTACCTTTGTACAGACGAACAAGACTCTTTTAAGAACAGTGGAACAAAGTTTGGTATAATAAACTATTCCCGCTCCCCTTATTTTTCACCTTCACTTAAGACTGTGTTTATTTTCTGCAATCTTCTAAGGATAAGTTAAGTAATTTAAAAGACCCCAAAGGATTTTTCCATGACAACTTCTGTAGTAAATATACATTTTCTAAATGCAAAATTGTATTAATTTGTTTGATGGTGATAGAGATAATTGTCACTAATTAACCTCTACATGGTTTTCCCAGATAAACATCTTAAAGCACAGATAAACAAAATGTCTTAAAGCAAAATCTGTTTCAAATGCTTAGACTAGAGTATACACTAAATATGATAATACATATGGGTTTTGTTCTAAACCATCTAGTATTTCACCCAAGTGGAAAAAAACCCCACAGATAACACCAATCTGATTCTTCTGTCTTCTGTCCTGAACCTCCATATAATGGACTCTTGAGCAATTTCTGTCTTAATTGCACCAAAAAAAACCAGACAGTGTTTTTAAATGGATTTGGAGTTTAAACTGGAAGAGAACACAGGAATGTCTAGAACACTTCAAGCAGAAATAAGCATTAGCGCACTGCGGTTTTGTTACGGCAAATCACTTCCACAAGCCAGATCGTTCCTTCCCGTGTGCTGGGAGAAAGTGGGATACTCACCAAAAACAGTCCTAGCAGGGACAGATTCTCTGTTTAGCCAAAAAGACACTTGCGATAAGATCACAGTCATAATGCAAGGAAGGTACGTCTGGATGACAAAATAACCAATTTTTCTTTTCAGATGAAAATGGGCTGTCATAATAGTATATTCACCTGGAAGGAGAAAGATGCACATATGGGTAAAACAAGGGAGGCTTACTGATCTGGGGACGTAAGCAGGCCAGCTCCGCCCCCCCCGTTTGGGGATACCGTTCAGCCATTCTTAATTGCATGGAAAATGCCTGGATTTCTGCGCTGTGGAAAACCAGGACTTGAGACAGAGATGCTGCTAGATCCCACTAGTCTTCACATTCACTCCTCAAAAGCAGAAGGCAATGACTGACTGCTCCTACTGCACTGAAAAGCTGTGGTCCCTTTATGCACCTGGGATGTCTCGATGTTCATAGGCTTAAAAAATCCAGGTTGCTGGCACTGCCTCAATCCTGCCTGTTTTTGACTCAGTCCTGCAAACTGTCTTATAAAAGTAACGATTAAGGCCATCTACTCTTAGAAACCTAATTTAGCAGCAGGACTTAACCTCATTAGGGCAACTGTTACTGCCAAGCCATCATTTTTCCAGAATGAGATTGGGTCCAGACATTCCCCCTGCACCACACTTGAGGGACTGCCTGTCCCAGTGTTGGTACTGCAAAAATTGCAGCTTTGCACGTGGATCCTGGAGAGGTCTTGTTGATCTCAGTACCCAAACCCACCAAACTGCTCCTCCAGAAAAAAAAAAAAAATGCCTCCAGTTCATGCAGTTTTCCTACAATTTGGTACACCTTACCCCTTGGACAGATAATGTTTCTGGATAGACGTTGTGCCATGTGTTGTTCACGTCTGCAATGAATATTGTACTGCCTGCATGGAGAATTCACTGAAAGCTGCTACAGCAGTCCTAAATTCTATGTCTTTTTGATATGCCAAATTCACAGCATTGCCTTAATCCGGCTTTTTTCAGGTCCTCTGAATTTCAATAAAAGCCTAAAAAAATGCACTCCTAAAATCACCAGACCAGCTGCCACCTTCCCTAATGTTTCAGAAAAATCAAAACTTAACTGTTTTTTTCAGACCGTTCCTGTAAAACCATATAGTTGTTACTGAAGGCTATTCATTGATGGTAACTGCTCCCCAAAGCCAAAATCTTGCTAGCTAAAAACAGGCTACTATTTGCCTAGGAAAAATAAGAGTAAAGACAAAATGTAAGAATAAAAAACAACCAACCCCTTCAAGCCCTAAAAGTCCTCTATTCACGTTGGTATCAAATTTATTTAAAAGCATGCATCATTCAGCTGGGTACTGATGAATCAGAGTAATGCCTGTTCCGAAAGATATATTGTCCTCCAAGAATAAAACAAATATAGCTATAATCTCTGTTGCAAGACTTGACCATTAGTCTCTATAGATCAGTCACAAAAGGAAAATATATAACAGACTGATTCTGCCTTGAGCGAATAGCCTGAGTTGAGCTGCAGCCAGCATTGCTAGGCAGTTAGATTTGGCAGATTATATCTAAGTGACAATATGGCTAATTAGCAGAGAACAGGTCTACAGTGAAAGGGCTTTTGCAGGTATAGCTGCACTGATATGTTATGCTAGAGGGTTACTCTGGATGAAGTTTACAGACCTTGTTCGTGCTGAGGATCTCAGCCAGAAAGACTGGAATAGGACAGAAATACCTTACCTTGACAGCCTGCCTCAATCTTTATGACTTTCTTCTGGAGTCTGACTTTCTGGTGAAATGGTTCCCTGAAGAGGGATGTGGAGATGGACAAGGAATGCTGTGAAACTGGGGAGAAAATCCCTGTGAAGTGACATCTAATTCCCTTCCATTTAGTGTAATTTTGAACCAGGGATACTGAACATGCTGTGGTCTCAGGAGGAACCCCACTTGCTCTTTATTTAGAAGCATTCAGGTTGTGGATTACCCACAAAATATGCCAGGAGCAGCAGGGTCTATGCACCTGTAATCTGTTTCTGAGTTGCTACTGCACTGGGATGTGTTTAAGCCACAGTTTCTCTGCTCACCATGGAGTGATAATGTACATTACTGATTTTGACAGTATGCTTTTGGAGCTGAAATAAAAAAAAAGTCTATACAGCTTCAGCAGAGCAACAGGACCCCTTTTTTTTCCTTTCTAAAATGCAGAAAATTAATGCCTACATTTTGGTGGCCCTCCACAGTTGATTTTTACTATATAATTTTCTTTTACCTATTAAAGCTCTTGTTTCCACTGAAATAACAGTACCACCTTGATTTTGTACTTGCTCTTTTTCCAACCGATATCTTCTCTGACTTTCCATGCTGTCCCTTTCAAAAATGCCTACGCTAGGAATGCTTCTGCCAGGAGACATAGGGCTTAAGAAAACCCCACAGCTTGGTTTTTAATGCCCTGGGACCACTACTTAGAAGTAAAGCTTAAAGCTGCCTGAGTTGGCCTTTTGTTTTTATAGAACAAAATCCTGGCTCTGTTGGAGTGGCAAAGCTCCCTTTTACTTCTGTAAGGCCACTGTTTATCCTTAGACCATAAGCTTTCTTGAGCAAGAGCTAATTTTTGTTATAGGTTTATGTAGCACTTACTTAGAAGAGAATCCTGTTCCTGATGGGGTCTACTCATTACTGCACAGAACGATTTTAATAACAAATTTAGCACTAATGAAAAGTGCTAGAGCGGGAATGGCTGCATTTCTTCACAGAGCTATGCTACTGCGCTGCTGCTGGTCTTAAGGGGTTTTTTATACTTTAAAAGCTGCTACAGTATTTTTTGATATCTAGATGATGGAGTTCTGGAGATCAGGCTTACAAATGTTGCAGGATCTTATATGCATTCTTCCATCACCTTTATGCTGGGATTCAATAGAGTATTTTAATGAGGACGGACCAGCCCCCAGGCTTGTTTGTTTACCGGATATACCTGGACTCAGGTCTATCAACAACTATTCCGGCAAGATCCTGAATTTAGGTCTGTGGCACCGCAGTCCCTGACCACGCTGACACCCAGAATACGTTGGTCCACGAGAGCCTGTGTCCTTTTTATAGCAATGTGTGGGAAAGATTCATCTCAAGGAAAAATCAGAATTATTTGGTGCAAAATGAAGGGCTGAATGCTTATTTTATTATTTAGGCTTTGGGTATTTCACAGCTCAGGCTCCAGCTGGCAGAAAATAAAAGAGTGGGTTTTTGTTTTGTTTTGTGGCACCGCCGATCCTGAGTTAGCAATGAGAGATCCTGGGTATGGGGAACAGAACTGGGCAACCATTTGCATAAAACAGCAAGATCCACTTGGACCCAAATCCTGTATCTGATTGTTTTCAGCACTGACACCACCAGGACATAACAGATGTTGGGCCTGTTGGAAGCAGTGTAAGTAGTCAAGTATCTTCTTTTTTGGGGGAATGACATTTGGGGATGTTAGCACAAAAAAACCCCACCTTCAAACAAACAGGTAGGACATGGCAGAGCTATTTTCTGTGGCATAGTTAAAATGTTCCCAATTTCAAGATTAGTTGATGAATTGGGAGTGCCAGGATATTTTTTCTGAGAAGAGGGCCAAACTTAGCACTTTGCTCCCAAGGGATTGGTGCAGGTCCAGCATTTCCATTAAAAAAAAAAAAAAAGCCTGCTAAAAAGAGAGCATAAATGTCCTATGACATACCCAAATATTTTGCCTACACAACTGCGAGGGCTGTGTAGTTTGACTTGTGTGTCAAAAAACGCACAAAAGATCCAAGCACTTGGATTTGTGCAAGGGCTATTTGTTTGTTCTTCTTCATGTTCAGCAATTCAATAGAAGGAAGAAATGCCTTAGACGGCCGTTCATAAGTAACCCTGATTACTGGCCTCCTGCAAGCTTGATGAAGTCCAGAAAATCCATCGCTGACTGATGCTTTGCCTGTGCACAATCGGATTTTTGTATTTTGCTAATCCCTGGTTGCAATCTGTGCCCTGCTCTTTGTGATCCACCCTGCAATCACAATCCAGGCAGCCCAGATGTAACCCGGGACATTAATATAAAATCTTGACGTTGGTAAAAAAAGCATTTATTAGCCTAAATCTTGGGCTACAGGAGGGAGGTTGTTACAGGGCAGAAACTTTGGAATTTGTTGGAAGAGTTCCCTGTTTCCTTGGGCTGAGGAGTACAAGGAGCTTTCACAGGCAAAGCTGCAAACTGGAAGTGGCCCGGAGCTGACACGCTGGAGCACTCGCTGCCTGGGCTGGGTGGTTTGCTTGCTCTGAGGAGCAGGACAAGCTTGTAGGAGATGCCCCATTACATCCTCTGGATCTTTTTCTTGGCAACGATGAAGGCAAGAGGGGAGCTGCCGTTCATCGCAGAAAACAACGCGGCTATGATGGTAAACTGGTAAGGAAAAAAGTATCTTTGCTCTTTAACGGGAGATAGCGTACTCGTCTTTTCTCTGCAGCAGCGGCTGCTCTAACTGCCTATATGCCTCCCTCGACTTCAGACAGCTGTGCTTTAGCAACAGCTTTGTGTCGCCTGAAATGGGCAAGAGGGGGGAGAGGCTCCATAGGACAGAGGCGGCGGCTGCGTTTCGTGGCTGCCCCGTGCCGCCCGAGACAAGCTTTCCCTCACTTGGTCTCCTGTTTGGAGAGCAAGCGGCAAGCTCAGCTGCCCCCCTGCCCCCTTTATTTGCCATGTTTGGACAGCCTGAGCAGAGAGCTTTACGCGCCTTCATGTTTCGGTCCAGCTACTTTTGTGTGTGCGTGTACATGTACCCGTTTTCACACCTCCTAAATTTCCTGCGCAGAGTAACAGGTTCCTAACTCCACCTGTACCGTGACCTCTGCAATCCTGCCTCTGGCTCAGAGCCCATCGCTTTTCACCAGGGACGCCGCGCATCACCAGAAGAGTCTGTCGTGCCTCGGGATTGCTCCGCAGGCATTGCGG